TGGCCAAAACTCTTCCCTAGAATTCCAAAATTCTTTAAGTTATATCTAGGCCGTTGATTGGGTTTCCTGGACTGAATGTCCTGGTCCGTAAGTTTTTCATTTGTCTTGTTTTCCGATAGGGATACATACATACATAGTACACATTTTTGAAAACAGGTGTATTTAATTTACTTCCACCACTGAGCAAACTATGAAGTGGGGTTCTTTCCTCTCTCTTTTTTGATAAAAAAACAAAGATACCATAAAACACTAAAATTAAAAGCTTGTTTAGAAGGGGACTCATATACACTAATCTTCTAATGAGGACCTCCCTTTTCCGATTGAATTTTGATGATCCGAGCCGCTCAATGTGTTCAGAACGTGATTTTAAGGGTACCCGCGTGAAATCAGCAAAAAAAAAAGACCAGGAATGTCTTCATCCGAGCAGTTTTTATTTATTTTTTATCGAACGGTTCAAATAAAAACTACTCAAATCAAGCACTTCCCGGTCATTTTTTTTGCCGATTTCACGCGGGTATATATATATATATATATCTTCTAATGAGGACCTAAAATGAGGACTATCCCATTTCTTCCCTTTCCCGATTGAATTTTGATGATCCGAGCCGCTCAATGTGTTCAGAACATGATTTTAAGGGTACCCGCGAGAAATCGGCAAAAAAAATAACCGGGAAGGGCTTGATTTGAGCAGTTTTTATTTGAACCGTTCGATAAAAAATAAATAAAAACTTCTCGGATGAAGCCCTTCCCGGTCTTTTTTTTTTGCTGATTTCAAGCGGGTACCCTTAAAATCAAGTTCTGAACACATTGAGCGGCTCGGATCATCAAAATTCAATCGGAAAAGGGAGGTCCTCATTTTATTAAAATGAGTTGGTCCTTATTAGAAGGGGACTCTATATATATATATGTATATATCCACACTTCTGCCCTTTACACTAAAGTTTCTTTTTGAACAAAATATTAATGCTGCCTTGTTTTAATTAGCTAAATAACACCATGATCCATCAAAAAGTATAATGTATTGAATTTAGTAATTTATGCCCAATTAAGAATCCAATTAAACTTGAAACTATGGGTAAAAAGAGGCAAAAACAAAGAAAGAACTAGTTATCCACTTACCATACACTAGTTATCAGTGCATCCAGTACTTAACCTACTCAAAAGCTGTCTCACATTATAAACTGACCGTGGTCCCTAACAATGTGTACAATTCTGATGCTTTTTGATCATTTAGTTTTGGGTTTATTTGGTAATGTACCATGGAAATCGTTAGTGGGCTATGCATCAAATATTTTAGGGTACATCCCTAAATGATAGTACCTTTGCTCTTTCATGTAGAGCATCTCGTCCCCCACAAATAATGCAGCTATCACCGTCGGTCTAATCTGGGGACCATTAACTTTATCGAGCCCACGGCAATGACAACTGTGTTATAGTTGAGGCCATCAATTTCATCGAGACTACTGCAACAGCAATTATGTGAAAGTTTTCAGATGCATTCAATCTATAATTTCTTGGGAATACATGAAGTAACTTGTAGTTTGTAGATTAGAGAGACTAAGCTTGGGGTGAATCGATGCTCTAGCACATGTGGTTCGATAGAGTGTGGAGTACGTCATGAATACAAAGACACGAGACGAGATGAGAGGACACACGAACCGTGCAAGACCTAGCTAGGTCTAATATCATGTTGAAGAATTTGGATAGGCGTACATCGAACCTAGATCCTTTAGCAATAGTAAATTGGAGAAGCCTCCTAGATTCTATAGAGAACAAACTCACATTTTGAAACGATGTAGGATAAGTCTAACAAAGTGCATGCACCATTTTGATTACAAAATCGAGTACTCCAACCCACATTGCCAACCTGTCCTCTACTTGTCTCTTCAAATCACTGTAAGCCTTTATTCCCAGTACACTCACAACCGTTTGATACGTTGAAAATCTCAAAATACACTCATCGCGACCGACTCGCAATCGTGGGCCCTGGAGATTACTGTCGGGATATGGATTTCGGGACATTGGATTCCACGTATGCTATGTCAGCCAATTGCTTTGAAACCCAACACCATGCAATTTGATTCAAATTGGGGACCCGGGATGCTCGCCTTAACTTCCTCACCTTCTCTCACGGGCAGCCTCGATTCGAAGTTATAGTCAGGTACTGAATCATCAGTACCTACTACCTAGTCATGAACTGAATCATCAGTACCTTGCTGTAATCGGTAAAAGCATGAGAGGGGAAAACAAAAACTACAATAAGGTGAAGCTAGCATGCACGTTTCGCCACCACCTATGGGCCGCATAGTACATACTGTAATTAATTAGGACCAAAGTTATAAATAGGAGTAAAAGGGTGGTACAAATATGTCAAATGGTCCTTATCATTAATTAGTTTGCAGCACCCATACGATGCTGACGTGGCGCTTTCTTTATTTTGCATTTTTACCACGTTCACAAATTAGGAAGCAATGTGAATTTCTATAATACTAGTCGGAGGGAATTTTTAAATGAGAAAAAGGGTAAAAGCAGCCCAGTGGACTGATGCTAAGATTTTTAAAATGTGTTAAAAAAGGGAAAATGATTTTGTCACATTCTTTTTTTGTTAACGCCACTCCCCTGCAAGTGTATTTTTGCACCAAAAATACACTTGCAGGAGAGTGGTGTTAACAAAAAAGAGAGTGGCAAAATCAGCAACCTAAAAAAATGTAAAAAAAAAAAAGGAAGAAAGAAGCATATTGGAATATGTGAAAGTGTATTTCAAATCTGTTAAAAATAAAGAAAGTGAATCGAAAAGTGTTAAAGGTGTATTGGTATGTGTTCTTTTTTGTGTTGCCGTTTAAAAAAAAGTGTTCTTTTTTGTGTTGCCGTTCGAAAAAAGTGTTTTTTTTTGTCTATTTCTGAATTTGTTGACAACCCTAGTGAGCTGTCAATAGAATGACTAGAATGACCCTTTTTAAATGATTATGCTTAAGATATTAAAAAAAAAAAAAACTAAATAAACCAATGTGATAGCTATGCTAATGACTAGAATGACCCTTTTCAGTACTTTTGTTTTTTGTTTTTGCCTGTCAGCTGTTTTAATTAATTTGTTAAACACATTAAGAAGCCGTAAAAAAAATTAAACTACTCTTGCAAATTGTGCATTCAAAATTGGAACAGTTCCAAAAAATCTGATCGTTGGATAAATGGAGAGAGCTCAGATGAATTTTTTTTCACAAAGCAAAACCTAACCCTAATGTTTAGTTATGAAACCTTTCTCTTTCCCTCTTTGTATAGAACGTTATCCAGTTCAATGGACCAACTAATTAAAGGTAGTAAAAACCTTGTGTACTGTAGTTATATATAGCCAATTAATGCTGTATACAAGAGATGTTTTGGATGCGATTTAAGGGCTGATTAGGACTCGATTCGAGGGCTGTTTACAGGTTGATTTAGGATTCTTTTGGGGGCTGATTTTGCAGCGATATTTGGGATGTGCTTGGGCTGTTTGTTTTTAGGGGATATTTTAGGTGCTGCTCGGGTCGATCCGGAGTTGTTTTAAAAGGCAGCGGCAAGGCAGCATTGGGGTGTTTGGTTGAGGCGGCCAGGGTTAAGGGTGACATTGGAAGCTTTTGGGTGGTGTTTTGGTGGTTTTAAGCAAATCTTCGAGAGGCGGAGAGGTCGGTCAAGAATTTGTGAGTAGCAGTAGTAGTAGGAGGGCATTGTGCGCTCTCTGGGGCGAAAGCTCTCTCAATGCAATTCTCTTCTTATCGTACTGGTTTCATGCTTTTATCCTTGTGATGACTGAAATATTCTTTTGCCGATAAAAAAAAATAATAATAATTACTGCATACAAACTGCTGCTACTTGGTATAGTATTTGCTTTTGCTGTTGCTGTTTCTGATTGTACAACTGCTGCTATTTTGCTACTGTCAAGGGTTAATGGGGAATTGCCTATGCAAGTGGGGTGACATTCAATGTTGTTCCAATGTGTGTGGGAGTGATCAAACTGTTATAGCCGCTCCTCGTACCATGTGGTTTTTGGAATGGGAGATGGTTCTGTGCGCAGCACCATGCTGTGCACCTCCGAGCTATTGGATCATGCATCCGACGGCTCGGATCTCATATCGGCAATGAACAGTTCGATCGTTGATTGCATCCGAGCCGTCGGATGCACGATCCAATGGCTCGGATCTCATATCGGCAATGAACAGTTCGATCGTTGATTACATCCGAGTCGTCGGATGCACGATCCAATGGCTTGGATCTCATATCGGCAATGAACAGTTCGATCGTTGATTGCATCCGAGCCGTCGGATGCACGATCCAATGGCTCGGAGGTGCGCAACAAGGTACTGCGCACACCACTACACAGCACCAATCCCAATTGCGTGGTTTTCGAGTTACTCTCCGTTCCATATTGAGAGTACACCATGAAAAGTCGTGTCATTTTTCAAATAAAAAAATCAACTCCTTCCGTGTATAATTTTTTGAATTTTTTCGCACCAAATTAAAGTACTGATCGAGATCTTTAATACGGTGCGAAAAAATTTGAAAATTTATGCACGGTGGTAGTAGTTAATTTTTTGATTTGAAAAGAGGTAAGAAAGAGAAAGTGAGACTGTCATTGTGGAACGGATGTAGTAATAAATATCTTTTTGTAGTTCAAAATCTCTTTTCCACCTGGGTCAAAGGGCTATGCCATCTATCTTAATTAAGACTAGTGCTAGCCCGTGCCTACGGCACTACGCATTCCGGTTGGAAGGGGATGTGGGAGGATGCATTACAGCCTTTGGATCAAATGAATCCTAGCCGTTCCAACAACTTGTCCCCACACCCTTCTGTTTTATAATAGAGATAGAGAGAGGTAATTAGAGAGAATTAATAGATCATTGGAATTAAATACGTATACAATTCCTGAAAATCTCTTACACACAATCCGATTCTTTCTTCTTTTTTCCAAAAGCAAATAAGAGGCAAGAAAGTCAAAATGTGAAAAGAATAAAAATAAATGAAAAGCGTCCATTGTCTAATGGTAATGACAGAGGTCTTCTAAATCTTTGGGATAGGTTCAAATCATATTGGAAGCAATTTTTTTTTCTCTCTCTCTCTATATATATATATAAAGATTTCTACGTCAAAAAGAGAGGACGTTTTGAATGATTTGAATCAGGGAGGCTTCATCACTCAAAGATTAAACGGATCAATGATATATTGGCAAAACGTCACTCGAGACCCAAACCAGAAGGAAGATAAGACGCCAATAACCCAAAGTCTGAAGGGAAAAGAAAAAAGCGGTAATCCAAAAAACCCAAACACAGCTGAGCCTCGAAACCCAACATAAAAACGCTTCCAGGCAATTAATATAGTCATTGAGAAGTAAGAGACCATATACTATCAGGTAAATAAAATGGCTATCCGCTCTCCCGTTCGTTATGGGGTTAGCTACAAGAAAATGGGGAGTGCTATGCCTCTAGCATTTTCCCGAGAAAACGAGAAAATGGAGAGTGGTAGCAATACTTATCACATGATCGTAATCTTTGAAAATGTTATACAAAGACTAAACGGATCAAAGACACAACGGCAAACGCCATCCAAGAGTACCCGAGCAAGCGAGGAAAGCAATATGCCAACTGATACAACAAGAACCAAAGGAAGTAAAATAATGTACAACCGAACACTCAAAACACCTCTGAACCACGGAACCCCACCAATTAAATACAGCCAACATGCTCCGGCTAAAATTGCTCAGAACCAAGCAACCATTAGCCTAAAAGAACCAAAACATTAAACACCAAAACCTAACCAGCCTCTCCCTCCGCCAAGCAAAAAAAAAAACCCCCCCCCCGCATCGCTTCTAGGTAAGAATTTTTCGGCTGAGGAAAGGAGGCGACTAGTCGCTTCTGGCGAAGCTGCTAGTTCATGAGAAAAGTGAATGAACGAGCTTAAAACCCGCATCACCCATGCTAAACCATGGACAAGAACAACTCCAGAAAACAAGCAAATTAAACGGAGAGATAAAGGAGAATTAAAACTCCATAGAAAGAGAGGCACCTACTATACCTTCAGTTCAACAAAATTACTACAACAATTTCACCCTTCTCCATTTATATTTTAATAACACAGTGTTGGTGGAAAGGTCAAACAAGAAATGATCAAAACATGTATTTTCGTATCCAAACTCATTTCTTGAGTTCCAAAAAACAAATATATGCTTGTTGATTGAAATGCCAAGGAGAACACAAACTCGTATTATAGAGAGAGAGAGAGAGAGAGAGAGAGAGGTGAGACTGGAGAAGATCCAAATTTCATATATCCAATTATTACCATTCAAGATGTGAAGTACGGAGTTTTATTCCCATTATGCCACTATATGTTTAGATACGTAAGATGTACCCTCTTATCATTCAAACATTCACGTACAACATTTGCAGTTAAATTCGTATTATCAATCATGAATTCATTACTTAAGAAATTCAAAAAAAAATTGCACATGAATTCAATTTTTTTTAATAACCGCGCGTCTGGGTCAATTTGCTCGTGCCTCGACTAATCCGGGAGTCCCGAAGTTAACCTTCGGTGGCCCCAAGGTTTGAAACGTTTGGACTTAATTTATGATTCGACAATATTGCAATCTCTTTGGTTATTGTCTCATGCCACTTAGCCAAACCGCTTGGAGTTTGCACGGAAATACCTATATAACAACAATATGAAATTCATAACATTTGTATGAAATCGTATTGAGCAGATGTTATGTGCTTTTATGCAGATATTTTTTAAAAATTCTATATAAATGGTATAAATTTAAGGAGATTCAGGGTGCATAACGACTCTTCCCATAAATGCAATATTAAGCAAATGTTATGTGCTTTTATGCTAATGTTATGTTCTTATAAATTCCAGTGTTCTAAAACAAGGTATTCCTTGCAAGTACGAAGTGCCTGTCCGAGACGACTAATCCCTACTCGGTGGGCATTACTCGTCGACTAGCGCCGAGTACTCGCTCCAAGGTGCCTGACCGTGCGAATAGCGAGTTTTAGAACACTGATAAATTCTTATACAAATGTTATAAATTTAGGGAGATTCAGTATAGTATAACCTAATCAAAAGCCGAGTACCACAAAATCTTAATCTCCTTTACCAATCCAATCATCTTATAAAAATTTATCGAATGGTCTTGAAAGCACCGCCACGAGATGTCTAACATCCTTCTTTACTACACATCTTGTGGGACTCAGTACTAAAGGTATGAATCCCACAAGAATATGTGATGAATAAGGGGCAGTGCCCCAAGACCACTGAACAACTACTCCAGGTTACGGGGATTAAACCTGGTCAAACAGATAAAGGAACCAAATAGATTAACAAATAATGAAATCTAGCAATAGATTACTGGTCCAATTTATAGGATATTTCTTTCAATTTAGCTCTTTTAGTCTTCGCAAAAATGAACAGAAAAATCACCAGTGATAGAACTTAGAAATTCATCAATAACATACCACATTAGCAAAAGAACGCGTGAGACAAAGTCGAGACGAACTCACCTTTCCAATTGGACCAAAAAAGATCCGGAAATAAGGTCGTCGCTCTCTGGTACGTCTATAGTCATTTGGTTGCCGATGCAGCATCATCAAGATTCTCATCTCCGAAAAAAAGCACGACCGAGTCGTACTTCGCATGTGAATCTTGATGACGCCGCACCTGCAAACAACAACTCTTGCAAGTCTTCATCAGGACCACACGCATGATCGGAAGGTAAAGCGAGGAAGTCAAAAGAATTCACCTTTTTTCCTGGAGAAACCAGGATATCGAAACTAAGAGTCGGGTACGTAAGTAGTCGTTTGGTTGTCGATGCAGCATCATCAAGATTCTCATCCGTAAAAAAAAACGATTGACGATAGATAATGGTCGCGTTATTTCACATGTGAATCTTGATGATGCCGCACCCACAAAAAACGACTCTTCATCATCAATCCATGCATGATCGGTAGATTTAACAGAATCTTCCTTTGAAGAGAGAGAATATGATAGCAGAGTAGATGATGGGAATCCAGATTGATTAAAATTTAAATGGCTCTAAATAAAGGTAAGAAAATACTAGCTCTGTACGGATTCCAAATCATGACCACGAGTGGTCTTGACGTGGTGGCTCGTCAGTGGTCACCATAAAAAGGTAGATAAATAATCGATTGGAACCCTAAAACAGTACCGTGCACAGTCTCGAATCAACCAAGAAAGAAAAGAAAAAAAAACTCAAAACCCTTTTGAAATCGAAAGATTTATTTGGATTTACGTGTAAGAACTAAAGAGAGAATTCTGGGGAAAAAAATATTTGGAGAGAAATCATATGAGTTTTCTGGGTTTTGTGAGCCGGGTTTTTCCATGAGATCTCAAATCCTGGAAAATCTGAACTCCGATGGGTAGATTGAAGAATCTACGAAAACTTATGCGAAGACGAAGAAGATGAAGAGTTGTTGAGTTTTTCCAGACCTATAGGAAGGACGATGATGAGTTTGAGAGAGAGAGAGAGAAGGTAAAGAAGTGGTGAGTGGAAAAGGGTTTGTGGGGGGATAGTTATATACCGCCGCGGGCATTGAGAGGAATGATAGTGTGACCAACGATTCATAGAAACTTTGTACATTCGTGTTTATTTAATTTAATTGGGTCTTGCAAGTAGTTTTAGGGAGGAAAATTTTATGAATTCTTTTCGTAATTTAGGTGTTCAGACCGTCTTACGCACACATCAATTAGTTCTCAAGAACAAATCTTACCGAATTCTAATTAAAGCCATAACAAAGCTCTAATTAAAGCCAGTAGAATTCTAATTAAAGCCAGAACAAAGCTCTGTAATGGAGGTCGATATTTTAATTATTAATTCTAGAAACATAGAAATTATGATTTATTATTAGGCGGGTGATAATGTCAAAACTGTTTTTGTTTATTCCACAAAAACTTATGTACCATATGTAAGGTATAATGTTTTTATGCACTAGAGTTTTGATACAAACAAAAGCAATTTTGGTATTATCATAAGTAATTTTTGTTTCTAGAGCTCTTATAAGTAAGTATTTGCTCTTCAGTTAGTTCTTTGGCTATCTTAGGGCTCGTACATGAGAGCCCTAGAGCAAAAAAAATGACTCTTTAAAATAAAATGATCAGAAAAATATATTCGTCCTGGTTCAAACAGATTAAAAATTAGAGTACTTAATTTTCGAAAGACTGTTTATTAACTAAAAAATATGTTTGAAAAATTAACTGCTCCAATTTTCAATATGTATGCACCGGTGTGAATATCTTATTTTTTTGATCATTTTATTCTAAAGGATTATAATTATTTTTTTGCTCTAGAGCTCTCATATGATTGTTATCCTTCAATTTTGCATAAGGACAAAAATGAAAATGTATACTATCAATTCAATCCTATCCCATGGAAAATAAACATAATACTATTGATAATCTCATCTCAAACAAACATACTCATTACCGATCTCATCTCATTATCAATCCAAATCATAATCTCATTCATCTATTACTATTATCAAACGAGGCCATAGTGTATTTACAAATAAGGGCAATGCAAAAATTAGAATAAACATTCAAAGCTACTAAAGAAACTGACCGTGCGTACCAACGGCACACGAGATTCACGTTGGGCTCCGCACGGATGATCCGAGCCGTTCGATAAATTAAAAAAATGAGTGGGCCCGAGAAAAATTAGCTCAGTTCGATATGTGTAGGTCCTTGATCCAATCTTCCCAATTTTTCATCCAATCTTCCCATTTTTTTCAATTTTTTAAAAAATAAAAAGATTGGATCGAACACTTACACAGATCAAATTGAACTGATTTTTCACATGCCCACTCAAATTTTTTTTTTAAGTACTAATAAAACGGTAAATTGCTAATTCCCCCCCCCCCCTCATTTTATTTGTTTGTTATAAAATTTTAAATGGTAATAACTTTTTCTTGACGTATTGTTTTAAAATAAATTTTATATTTTGAAATCTACTCAATGAAACCTATCAAACGAGCCTAATATTGATGGTGAAATAATGGAAAATGGAAAAACTATATATTTTTGTGGTAGTTTA